ATGGCTTCCGTAGTTGAATCTATTTTGCCATTGCTCTTTATCACAAGAAACATGCATAGCTATTTTATATATGCTGAAATTAATATATATATATATATGGATGATTATATATGGTTTTAAAAAAATATTATGGGATACTCAATTCTTAGAAATTGCATAATCTAAGTTAAGGTTTATATTGTACCATATTAAACAAAATGAAATCAAAGGAAACTTGATTCTAGATTATCTTATTCGCTAAATTCATGTTACAGAACTGTTTGTTCGATAAAGTGCTGCTTATGTTGGGAATTTTAAAAAGTAAAATACTAACCACATTTTGTTATTATATATTGTAGCATAACTATGAGCAGATCGTTATTGAGAAAATCATACTGTGCGTATCTATATAGTTTTTTGCTGGTCATCGTCGATATTGCATCAATAAAGCATGATTTAACATTTTAAAATACGTTAGGTCACCTAAATTCTTTGAAATTGCAATTAAAGCTAATATTTTGTTATATCCTCATTATTTTACGATGATGCATGCCATGTTGGGAAATCAAAAGACCATAACTATCCCGAGATAAAGTTGCGGTTTACCCACACAACTCACTGGATTTCGACTCGGGTTCGGGCAACCTTCCTGTGACTTAGGTCACTTGAAAAGTCACTCGTGTCCAATCTCTTGAAAAGTCACCCGTGTTCAATCCATGCAATTTTTGGGCAACTTTCTTTTGTCATTTTTGCTACACTTCTTTTATCTGTAAACCTGATTTGCAAAGCGGCTGCAAACACTTTTATACCAAGGGGACAACGTGCAAGGAAATGCATGGATAAAAGAATTGAACCAAAAATCAACACTTTTATAGACGGATGTACTACCAACAATATGATTTTCTCAACAAATGTTTGCTCATACTTAGGCTACGATATATAATGRTAAAACGTGGTTAGTATTTTATTTCTTAAAATTCCCATCATAAGCACCCCTGATGTTTATTGAACAGTTCCGTGACATGTTTTTAGCAAATAAGATAATCTAGAATCAACTGGTATGATTAAAATGAGTTCCAAAAAACTATAATCAACATTCAAAACGTAGGAACGATCTGAATATAAAGTCATTAAAAACTTGACCGAAGAACTCCTCGTCGCACTTGTCAATCCGCCTTTCAAGAATATAATGAATAATAGACGGTTTGCTATGTGCATGGCATACTACACATATGCAAGGTACAAAACCAAAGACTATATGGTTGTTATAGTGCCTACTATATAAGTGTTTTCTAAAATATGAATGTTAGGTAGAACACATCTCATCAATAAATTAAATGCATACATACGTCAGATTAATTWGTTGTCATATTTAATTGTTAGACCCATCTAAAAAAATTCTAAATAATTTCTCTAACAACCAGCTCTTCACCCATGAGAAGGGATGCTTTCTCTGGAATTGGTTGTTAGCATTGATGATAGATTGTATGAATTAGTCAACTGTTATGAAAAATAAAGAAAGAAGGCACCACCTAATTACCAGGTATATTCTTTATATGGATAAACCATAAAGCCCCTAACATATTTCTATAAATAAGTTTGCAGGGATTGGGGCTAGATGTACAACATAACTTCAGCTCCTTAAGAAACTTTGTCCTCCTTGTTCCAAAATATTATTCTTAGCAAGGAAAATGGTATGTTCTTTCACTATAAGCAGAGATTTGGTTAACTATCTTAGTGAACACTAGGTTTACAATTACCGGTACTTAATTAATTTCTTTATTTCCAACACCACTTCACTTTTTATGAATTCTGTATTTTTGATCCTTATTCAGGCTAGTCAAGTAGAGGTTGGACCATGGGGAGGTGACGGTGGAGTTAATCCCTGGACATTTAAACCAGATGGTAGGATTGTTGGTTTTCGTATCGCTAGTGGAGACGTCATAGATTCCATCAGGTTCACTTATGAGGATAAMAGCCAGGTCTCACACCATTCTGATACATATGGTGGCGATGATGGCACACTTCATCCACCTGTGAGCTCTCATTACATATCTATTATATATGTATACATGTACGAAGCATATCTTCTTAATTATTACATTGCATTTATGATGGATTTGTTTGGAATACTCAGGTGAAGTTTGATGATGATGAGGACCTTAT